ACACTGGGACCAACACACAAGGAAAATGCCATTGTTATGGATGTGAAAAATGCAGTCAAGCTGAAAATAAAAACTGTGTGTATATATATTTTATATTCTGTCAGTATGACAATCATCTCTATAGGACTCATCTTCACATAAAGCTACACCTGTTTAATTACAGACATAGGGTGAAATACTAACCCTGTTGAAGTTAACAGGAGATTGACTTCAGTAAAAGCAAGATATCACCAATAATGTTTGAACTGATTTAGTTACACTGATCCAAAAATCATGTGAACATTCATATTCATTTAAACCTGACTTCTGCACATTGTGCTTTCACCAGTATATTTACAGGTGCAAAGCAAACCAGTATAACCAGCTTAAAATTGATAGGAATATTTCTATATGAGAACTTGAATCTGTTTCACTAAATTATTTTAAAAGCTGATTTAGGTTAAATATATGGAATATCTTTGTGTGGACAATGCCTTGTACTAAAAGAATGAAATAATGAGTGGCAGAAAGGGAATATGTGCTACTGTTTTTAAAATGTGAATATTATAACCAACTATTTCAACATAACAAAAGCTTGCAGTATAGAAAGTGGTCTGTGCAAAATTGGTTACAAATGAACACATTTTTGGATAAGTGGCATATTTCCAAAAATCACTTCAAACGAATGCTACTCTACTTAAAATGAATGATCCATACACTTTGCAGTTCACATCTTATTTATAACAACAGAAAAAGTAGCCTAATAATCGCTCAGTAAAATTTAAGCCTGATATGATTTTTTAATAACTGAGTTATAAACTCATGAAAATCAGGGCTTACAATGTAAAAAAGTCTGAACTCTATTGGCAAGTAAAACTATAATCAAGTGCAGACTATTGTAACCACTTAAACAGATATATTAGCTGCTAACAGAGAAGAGCCTCCATAAAATAGTGCAGTTCCTGTGCATTAAACCATGACATTTTAAATAATCCATCAAAAACATTTTTAAAATAGGAAAATAATGAAGCTGTTGAATTAAGACTTGCTCTGTATAGCAAACCACAATACAGGGCCAAATTCTTCTGTAAGTAACAAAAGGAAATAGTCTACTACAAAGAAAAGGTTCCATTGACTAAAAGGGTTCATCTACATGTTGCATAATGTTTGGAAGATATATATCCCGCGCACATTTTCTTAAATTGGAAGTAATTATCTAACGGTCATTTCCTACAAAGGACAATATTACAAATCAAGGAAATCACCGGTTAAGAAAACATTCACCTCCCATTAACCTCACTACATAAGTCTCTCCACCAAATATTACACTGCCCAAACAAACTCACGGAGGTCTCAACTTTACAGCTAGCTCTCCCTTTATTGGCAGCATACAACCATCCTCAATTATAAACATTCAGTTCTTCAGACTTAAAGTCTGACCTTTATTTCTGGCAGGAGATGAGTTATGTTTGTTCGGGGCCTTAACTGTGCTCTCCTATGTATGTTCACATACTTCTTTTATATTTAACCATGACTATATCTACCATGGGGTTGTAATACCAATTTTTACAAGTATTACAACATTCCTGTAAGTTATTTTATTTTACCTTTCCACTACCAATATATACTATAAAGTTTAACTCCACCTTCCTGAAATTTCTTGTCAAAGGAGAAAAGGCATGAACAGACATGTGCATACACATTCTCTCTCTCTTCCCAACACCCTCAAGGTTCACAGAAAATTCAGAAAACTGCATTTTCCAGGCATAACTTTCATGAATCATTTATATGACATGGGCTTTGTCCTAAAAAAAGGACAGGAATCTGATTCCCATTGTCAAAGTCTCTGTTTGTATTACCTGATGGTGGGGCAGTAGTTTTTTTATCTCAACCAGCCTCTTAAGAACTGGCAGGAAACTTGACTTAAGGAATTTTGGGACACTGACAGGTGTGCAGGCCCCCGCTCTAAGTCATGGTGCTTTACACAAAGTGCCATGAGTTAGAGCACCCTCCTCCCAACCCAACAGATGCTTGCCTGTTGGGTTGGGGAGGAGAGATCAAGCCTACCTTCAGGCAAGCAGCCAGCCAATGAGCCACACCTCTCCCCAGCCAAGGAGCCACCCCTCTCCCTAGCCTTGCCCCTTCTCCCCCCCCTCCCAGGGGGAAGCCAGCAGCAGCAAGCTGCTAGCTGGGATTTTCCCAGCCTGAGCTGCAAAGGGAAAAGTGAATCAGAGCCTCCCCTGCCTCATGGGTCCTGGTAGGCTCCCTCCAGTGCCTCAGCCAGGCAAACCGGCAGCTCACTGATGCAACCCAGTCCCGACTGCACAAAAAATGAACCCTAGGGAACACAAGTTCCCTAAGGTGCTCCAAAGTAGAGTGCCATCATTTGATACTTCATTTGGGGAGGGTTAATTATTCATATGATCAGCCACTTTAAAAGTGCTCTGCAGCCATGCACATGTGTCACAGCACAGCTATAGACTACTTTCAGGGGCCTGATCACACAAAAAATGTAACTTCTATCTGCACTTCCAAAGAGCACCCAAGGACCTCAGGAGGCCAGTGCTAGATAGAGACTGGATACTTTTGTGCTGTTTCTCAAACTTTGGGTCCCAGGGCCACTTGGTTCTCCAGCAGACACACCAGAGCTTAAGCTGTGCTCAGGTGGAATTGTCTGAGCAATGGCTTCATTCAGCCCCTCCCAAAGGCTGTTTCAGAGTACCGGTGGGAATGGCAACTGAGCTTATGCTAAGTAAAACACCATGAACCTGCTCCTGTATTCTCAGATCATAGAATGGGGGGGACTTTCTTGAGAGGATCATCCTTCCTCCCAGATCATCCTCCTCTAGATCCTGTCCAGCTTTATCCTAACCAGCAGGAAAGGTTCCCATGGTGCACATGGGGCTTCCAATAAGCAATGAGAGAAAAGCAGATTTGTCAAGGTAGCTGTTTCTGCACTCCATCCCCACCTGGCTCCGCCCAACTTTCTCTGCCTTCGACCACAGAGGAAAAGAGGGATCAAACAACCTGTGCTACAGAATTTCCATTTGGCCTCCTGTGTGACCTCTTAATTCCTACCTGGAACATCACAGAGTTTAGTTAATGTAATGAGAAGCACTAATAAGGAACGAATTGTGCTGTGCAGATCTTTGCCCATATAGATTGGCTAATGTTACCACAGGAAGTAGGAGTGGTAAGAGGGGGAAGGCCAACAGGCAAAGGGTAAAAGCAAGAACCTGATTCTGTGTTTTATTGCACTAACCTAAATAAAATGAGAGACACTCTCCCACTCTTTTCCTGGACAGCTACATGACTCCTCACTGGGACACCCATTCCTTTCCCATCTCTCCTTGTTTCCTAAAAGGATGGGCTAATAAGCAGCCCACTACTATGTACCCTCTACTCCTTCTATGCTGCTCAAGTGCTGAGCTTCTGACCAGTTTGTGATTTAATAAAAGAAAGCCAAAAATCTTCCAATAGACTTCTTGATACAATCGTTAACTTGAAAAGATAGAATACCTTATTTCAATCCATGTTGATCCCCTCCTGCCATATTTCAAACACTGTAACATTGCTATTTCACAGGAGGCCAACATGCATCCAAAAGCTATATGAGCTTCTGAATTTGCTCTGCCTAAGTTATCTCCATGTTAAGCGAAAAGAAGAACATAGTGTTTTCTTATGATCAATTCCAAGCATTCAAAGGATGATGAAATTGGCTTAGAAGTCATGTAATGATGTGAAAAAAAAGAAAGAAAAAAAAAAAGAAAGTTGAGGTTATTTTAAATTGCCTTTAGCATTTTAGAGGTCCCATTTACAGGTATTTTTGCAACTACAAAGGCTGAAAATGAAAAAAGGGGTGTGTGTGTGCTGGGGGGGAGGGGGGAAGGGGAGTTATTTATTTGATTGTGGAAGCCATATTCTCAGAGTCATAGGACTCCAGGAACTGCAGTTTTAAGAAACTGGTATGAAATCATGGAAGTCTTACAACACTGTGTGGGGATCCAATGCCCCTTTACTGCAATGTGTTGTTCTCGGTGAACATTTTCACTGAATACCACAAAGAACGCTTGCTGACAACTTCTAATAATGCATTTATCTAACTAAACTGACGAGTGAGCCATAAGCATTCTACCTAATTCATAAAAGAGTATTAAAGCAGAATTGAGGTTTAACTCTGCCTTCCTAGCACATTCATCCAACAGCATAAGAGTTCCAAGTGACAGCCACATCAGCGAAATTATTGCAAATATGATCTGGAGCACAATAACTCACTTTTAGGTTTCGGGTACAGTTACTATGCCTTTGCATAGCCTTGTTTTCTTTATTTAATAAAGACAATTAACATATCATGCAGTTGAAACAACTTAAGTAAATTTACCATGACCGTTGCCAAGCTATTTCCTAAAAAATCTGAAAGGAAATTCTTACCAATACTTTTTACTTTTGAAGGAATGACCTTGAGATATTTTATCCAGACATTCACTTAATTCTGAACAGATAATATGTAAAGACATTTAAAGAAACACTATCAACTTAAAATCAAACTTCTGTCTGAAAATGCTTTTTTAGGCATTCAAAATATGTGTTTTATTCAATTGCAACTGTCCAACCTTATTCAGCTTTTTTTTTTTAGTTCATTAGACAGCACTTAGCATAGCCAGCTTCATGGCTTTTCTGTATAGTTTGAACTGTTGTCATTTTCTATGTTATTCTATGGATATTTCACACAGGGTCAAGAAGAAGAAGAAAAACCTTTTAAAGACCAGGAAAATACAACTGTAAAAGCATACAAGTAAGTGGAGGAAATCAGGAGCAGGTGTAACTATTGAAACTACTTTGAGCTGGCTGTTTGATTAGATTTCAAGCTAATGATGTCTCATGAAGTGTCATTGTGAGTGAAGGCTTACTAATTGCAAATGTAACAGAAGCAGAACTGCAAGTATATAATTTTACCTTCTGGTTTTTAAAAAAAATAAAATACAATAATAAGATTATTCAGTCCAATAGAAGTCACTTACCAAAGTAAACAGGCTTTCCACATATGGGGCAATATGAAATCATCTTCAGAGCAGTGCAATACAACACAGCATTCAGCAGAGTTTGTAAAATAGTCTTCTCTTCAACTGAACAACAGGAAAACCATGGCCAACAGCAAAACATGACGTGTTTTACTTTTGAAGCAGGATGTTGTGGTCATATGAGAGCACTGTCTGTGAAAAGCTGAATTCAGGGACAATATTACTCAAAGAAATAATTTAGCTTTTTAAACCAAAATCACAGTTTTAAAAACACTTTTTTTTCCCACCAGCACCTAAGAAATGCTGGGGAATGTCTCCCTCCATCCTATCCTCAGAATTCAAAATAAGATTCTGTTTTTATAAGGATATTATAGGCACTGAAGTACTCTCTTGGCCTCTTTACAGAATGTTTTGCTTTCCTAAAGGGAGATATAATATTCATAACAAAACGTTTCTTCTATTTATTTTTTCCCTTCATTTAAATTTGCAGGATGGCCATGAATTGAAATGATTTTACAAATATCCAGATTCTTTTAAGTTAAAAAATCAAACAAAAATAGTGTTGAAGACACACGTGAGAAAAATGCTTTGCATTCAAACATTTGTCAAACACTATCCTAACCATGCAGAAAGTCCAATAAAATTTACCACCCACAAAAATCCTTCCCCCAAATAAAAATAGTATCATTTATGAATTTTTAAAAGTCTGACAGAAGCAGGCAACAGCAGGAAATATATGGTTCAGTAAACTAAATTCAGATTTCAGGGCCATGAAATCCAAGTTCTAGTCCTTCCTCTGTGATTGATTGACCTAATTAACCTATTGTGCTGTACAATGTTATTGAACACGTTAGGTTGATATTTCACCCGTTTTACAGATGGCAAAATGGAGGCCCAGGGTGATTAAGTGACTTGTAGAAGTCATATCAGCTTGGTGTTAGCTGATCATGTGTAGGCTGATGCCTAGCCCAGTGTATTTGTAGAACTTCTCCATAGTAAGTATCACTGGCTGCATTTACACAAGATGCTGAGTGCACAGTTGTTACTGCACAGTCATTTATTACTTGAATACACAAGTACTAAATGACTGCACAGTAACCAGAGTTTCTGCACAGTAGCATCACCAAATGACTGTTAGTATTATATTGGGAAGTTGGCTAACTAAATTAAGTAAATATAACCTGGGAAAAGAGGAGCTGTCAGAGCAATATCTATACCCATCTAAGAATAGAAAATCACCGTTAAAAACCAAAACAAATCCATATTTGGCAAACAGAAGCAGGCTTATTGATTATGCATTAGGAGGAAGGCTTAAACTAATTATGTATTAAATGCAGTAGCTATAAGGTATATAATGAAGAAGAAAAGTGCCACCCTTTGGAACCTACTCCTGAAGGATCCGGTCATTGATCCAAGACTCTATCCTATGCAGAATGAGGTTACAGAAGTTGAGATCCCTGGATAAGACCCATGGCCTGATCAACCAGTAACATCTCACTAGTTAGATTTTGGGGTGGTGAGCATGTTGTATTGCTTTTGTCTAACTATGGTAGTAGAATTGTAATTGCTAAAGCCCAGTAAATTTGCTTATGAAAGGAAAGTTGTTGCACAGTCTCCTCACCTGGTAAATAAAAACCATAGTATAGGAGTTTGTCCTCATTAATCACTATGTAGGCATAACTCTGGCATTTCAGGTAAAATGGCTGTCCAGAGAATGCCCTGCCAGCATTTCCTTGAGGTTTGCATCCTTCCATGAGAATCATTTGCACACTCTTAAAATGCTATAAAAACGAATAAAATAAAAGCCATGAGTACAAGGAAATGAACAGTCCAGCTTACAGCACTCAGCTAGAATTGGGTTTTGAGTCCCTGCTGTGCCAGAGAATCCTTCTGTACCATCAGACAGGACAGAATGAGGTGAAGTGATTTGATTTCAACGGGAGTCAGAGACCCAAATACATTTATGCCTCTGTGCCTCAGTTCCACATCAGCACAATGGGGATAAGAGCACTACCCTACATTTAAGATACCATATACACTGGGGGTGGGGAGGGCAGATAGTCATCTTAAATAGATCAGAACCATACACAATGAAAATTGGGGGAAATTTGAGAAAATAGTTGTTCCCAGGGTTGCCCAGCTTTCACCCAGTTGGTTCCTATCAACATCTCACTCTCAAACACTGAGAGTTGTTAGTTCTGCTTGGCTAGCTGTCCACACAGGGCTTGCAAGACAGGAAAACATGTAACAGGAAGTGCATTTTCAATCTGCTTCTAAACAGTCTTAGTTCACAGTTTAATAGTTTCTTAAACATATGCTACAGATAAGTGCCATGAAGATGGCTACTAATTTCACCAGCTCTCAGTACTGCAGTTGGAAACAGAAGGCTTAGTTCTTTGGATTCATGTTTATGTGATAACAAAAATGCTACCAAATCAAAATGGTAACATTTTATCCCCATTTTACATAGGAATAAATGATAGCACAAGTGAAGAAACAGTCTCCATATCTTTTGCAATCGGTTAGTAAAGCAATCATTGAATGATGGTAAAAAATTCAACTCTTAGTTGGTGTAATAATTTAGTCTTATTGTTGATAATAAATCCACTCTATCTGAAGATCAGACAAAACTACATTTTTAAGAGGTATTAACTTTAAAAAAATGAATTCATTTCAGTTCATGCTCAAGTAACAGCCAAGATTATCATAAAGGGCTAGACTGAACCAAAAAGATCTCTATTTTATATTATTGACTCAGATTTTTTACAGTTTCACCATCTCTCTCTATAGTCAGTTTGTTTCCTTCTTTTGACTATGATATTCTGGGCATGTCTACACATGCATTTAGGCAGACCTAAATTTAATGCACACTAGCTTAATGACAGGTAAGGCTCTTTGGGTAGATGTGATATATTTTATTAGACCAGCTGAGTAGCTGGAAAAAGCCTTTTGCAAGCTTTTGGGCACAATCTTCTTTCTTCAGGCATAGGAAGTCCCTGTTGTTCTGAGACTCCATGGAATGAAAGAAGCTAAAAATGTGAAAGGATGAGTGAGAAATGTGTCAGTGAGAATGTAAATAGGTGGAAATTAGGAAAACAAAAGGTAGAGCAGAGAAGAGAGGGGAAAATATGAGGTGGGGGAGAAGCCAAAGGTGAGTAAGGGAGACTCTACAGTAGTAGATTTTCAAGGTAGAAAAGAGGCTCTCTGTGAAAAAGTAAATAGCTGGAAATTAGGAAGACAAAGGGCAGAAAAGGAGGGGAGGAGAGGAGAGGTGTGGCACCCCCTGCTAGTGTTGTGAGTATGCTCCCGCTCCGTGGTCTAGGGCCCTGACTCATCTGCCACGACTTGATGTAATTACAACTGAAAGGAGGGGTTCAGTGGTGTTCCTTTTCCCCGAGCTGGAGACAGGATACTCACTGGCTTGCCGCAGTTGCTCCTGGGGCTCTGCCTCCCCTACACCCCATCTACTCGCCAATTGTGTGGATCTCCATGTTACCACACCAACTCTAGGCTTAGGCTCGTCTTGTGCCCTGAGGAGCCTCTGCCTCCTTGGTCATGGTTGGGAGCTCAGGCTTGGAAGTTCAGCCTGCCCACCTCTCTTTCTCCTTGGTCCACCTCTGTCCCTACACTGGCCCTGGGTTTAAGTTACCTACCTCAGGGCCAAGGTCAGTTAGGCCGGTCATGTCTCCTGTCAGGAACTGCCAACCACGAGCCTCTATCTCAGGGGACAAGGTTTGCAAAGCCTTGGACGGCTTCCCACTCTTGCCCTCACCCATTGACAGCAGGGCAGAGTCAGGGGGGCTGTCTAATCTGGAGCGTGGGGTCTCGATGTGCCTAGCATCTTGCCTCCTGGCTCCCCACCGCTGCACCCAGCTTCTACCAGGGTTTTTAAATCTCCCACGGCAGTGGTCCCAGCTGACGTCATCTGCCCAGCTTAATCGACAGACACTTGAAGAGCTGGTGCAGCACCAGCTTGCATGGCTCCTTCTGATCCCATCCTGCCTCCCAGGTAAGTTTTGTGAGGCACTGGGGTCCCTGGGCCCTCCTCTGGGAGTGTCAGGGTCTCCCCCCTGCACTTCCAGCCCCACTGCCACAAGAGGAAGTGGGGAAAAGAGAACTTTAAGATGTCAGGTCTGGCAGGTACCTGGTGAATCAGATGCCAAGCAGGTTATAATGTGTCATAAATCCAATGTCTATATTGAGTCCATGATTTTTTTTTGTATCCAGTAGATTTATGAAGTAAAGTTCGTAGGCTTGCCTGCGAAATGTGTTTTGTAAGTTCCCTTCGAGGAGTAGAACTGAGAGATTGGAAAGGGAGTGATTGTCCTATGAGAAGTGTGCCCCCACAGGTAGTTGGGTATTCTTGCCTTTGATAGATCTTTGGTGTACACTCATTCTGGTATGCAGTTGTTGTTTCGTTTCTCAAAAATATTTTCCCTCAGGTCATTTGTTGCACTGGATGACATATATAACATTTCTGGAGGTGCAGCTATAAGATCCAGGAATGGTGATGGTTCTGTTGTGGGGGGTAGTTATAGTGGAGGTGGTGATGTGTTGGCAGATTTTACATTTCTTGTCATAGCATGGTCTGGAACCATTTGGTGTGGTTTGGGTCATAGGGAGTTTGCTTCTGGTGATGAGGTTAGTGAGGTTGGGTGCTTGTTTAAAGGCTAGGACGGGTGGTTCTGGAAAGATCTCTTTAAGAATTGGGCCTTCTTTTAGTATGAGTTGCAATTGTTTGAAGATTTGCCATGTAGGTGCCAGGGAAGGGTGATATGTCATAACTAATGGTGTATGATTTGTGGGGGTTTTCTTTTTGTACTGTAGGAATTCTTCACATGGTATCCGGGAGGTGGCTCTTTCAAAAATGCTATGTGTCTATCTGGAGAAGTGTCCTTGTTGGGTGAAGGCCCTTTTCAGATTTGTGAGGTGGCAATCACAGATATTCTCCTCAGTGCAAATTCAGTGGTATCAGAGACCTAGGCTTTAAATTGCAGCTTTCTTGGTGTGTTAAGGGTGATTGCTGGTTCTGTGTAGATATGTATGTTGGTGCATGGGTTTCTTGTATATGGTAGTTTGTATTTTGCCATTTTGGAT